ATTTAAAGTGAGCCTTCGCATTCATGGATAATTGAGACCATTATAAACTTTTGAACAATAATAGATACATAGGCAGAGCTGCCTCAAACAGATTGTCAAACTGCAGCGGGAAGGCCGGGGAGGGTTGGGGAGCAGGAGGTAGGGGGGTAAGAAATCAACCAAAGGACTTGTATGCATGCATATAAGCATAACCAATGGACATAAGACACTGGGGGATAGGGGAGGCTAGGGGACTGTCTTGGGCGGGGGGAAAAAATGGACACATACGTAATACCCTTTGTAATAAAAAGTAAAATTAAAAAAAAAAAGAATAACCAAAACTTATTTATAGACATCTTAAACAAGAGCACCAAGGATATTTGTGAATGATGACGATTAAGATTTCTAGTCTATTCAGTATTCAAAGATGGTCATTAGGAGCCCAGAAACTACTAAAAAATACCTCCACCCTCACATCTAAATTAGGTCCCCCACCTTTCATTCTCTCACACAATCCAGTTATTTACTTTTACTGCATTAGTCCAATTATCAATTATATGCCCAGAGTTGGTGATGTTGATAATGTCTGAATGCCTACCCCATAAGACTGCAGAAGGACAGGGACTAAATCTATCTGGTTCTCCACTAAATTCTCACTGCTTAGCATGAGGAGGTGCTCAAGTATTTTTGCTCTCTTGTCTTCCTCCTCCTTTTTACCTGAAACATGGAGATGATAACTGGATCCCTAGCAGTCACGTAGACCTTAAAACCCCCCATGCAGACTGTTAGAAGATGGAAGCCATGGATGAGGATGATGGGATGATGACCCAGAAAGCTAGAAGGAACTCTGGTTTCTGATTACCTCATGGACCTGACATACTAGCCCTGGCCCACCTACATCTGAGCTTCTTTTATATGAAAGGAAATGAGCCGTTAGGTTTTTTTTTACTTGTTTACACCATACACACACACACACATACACAATGCATATGTAAAGAAGCATTTACAGGATCAATTTTTTAAAAAGAAAATGAAATTAAAATAAATTCTTAAGTTTTATCATCTCTAAACAATCGCTTAACAAGAATCTGAAAGCCTCAACAGTCATGAAAGAAAAACCACTTTCTTCCAAAGGTTTAAAATATTAGCCAGGCTTCAGGCCTTTGCCAAGAGATCTCTGTCAGGCTCTGCTTTGTACACAAGTTCTATATGCTAGGCCTTGAAGTTGAGACCAAAGATTCATGTGCTTCACTGTAAACCTTTTCACTCGTTGAGGATGGCTATAAGTATAACTAAACTCAGAAGAATTTGTTTCTTTTCTTTTTTCTTTTTTAATTCTCACCTGAGGATATGCTTTTCATTGATTCTGGAGAGGAGAAGAGGAAATGGAAGTGGAGGAGAGGGGATGTAAGGAGAAGAGAGGGGAGAAAAACTTTGATGTGAGAGAGAAACATCGATTGGTTGCTTTCCAAATGTGCCACAACCTGGGATCAAACCTGCAACCTGGGTATGGACCCTGATTGGGAATTGAAACCACCATCTTTTCATGTATGGGACAATGTTCCAACCAACTGAATCCCACTGACCAGGGCAAGCGTTTGTTTCTTAAACAAACCTCACAAATACAATGGGCCCTATCTTGTATGCTATTTACTGCCACCTAGAATTTGATGTAGAGAAATCCCAGGACATGAATCTCAAATTGCATTAAAACAGAATTTCAGTGTAGCAAGAGGAAGATGTAAGAGACTATGCCCTTCTCTACTTGGCCTCTGCTACTTGCATGGAGGCTGCTAAAAAGAAGATCACAGGAAGGAGGCCTGCAGAGTACAGCAGGGCTTTGTAGAATGTAAGAGCTGAAGACCCCCAAGTTCTAGACATGACACTCACCTCACAGACGCCCCTGGTTCTTTTGGGATCCAGACTACAACCATATTGCTAACACCTTGAGGGCGAGGAATGTATGTCTCATTCAAATTTAGCACTGCAAGCTAAGAGAAAAATATAAAGCCTATGTATGGTTTGAAGATACCGGCTCCTGATGGTACTCAGTATAAGACCAAGGACTAAATTATCTTATTAACCAAAAGAGTACAGTGGCTCACAAGGTAATAAATACAGTGCTCCAACCCCAAAAACATCTTTATAATATTTCAAGAAACCAGGTATCAGTACAGGTACTGGATGAGTGCACATTTATAAGTGAATAGTGTCCCCTGCTTCCCTGGGACATGAGGGTGGCATTTAGCAACTCCCAACCCCATCCCATAGGAGGGTACCCAGGGGCTTCCCTAAAGGAACACTACTCATTCTGGCCATTCCGCTCCAAAGACTTAGGTCCTCTGGGGATATTACAATACAATGTGGGAGCAGGGAGTGAACTGACAGACAGAGCAAGTGTTCTACTTCTACAGCCTGTCTACTAATATCGGCATCTACACAACAGTGAAAGTCCTAACTCTTTTCACATTTAGCTACTTAAGATATTAGAACACTGATGATGCTCAAGGAAACCTCGTAAGTCATCTAGTCCATATCCCTAGTAGGAAGAAGGGGGTGGTTCCAAGTAAGGTTGTCCCCATGAAAATGAACTGATTGACTCAGGGGAACAGGGGACACGTCTTTGTTCTGTAAACCCTTTTCTGCCCTTTGGATTTGGAACCATATATGTGTATTATCTATTCAAACAGTTAATTTAAAACTAATTTAATCTAACCCTATTGTTCGGAAGTGGTCAAAGAGGTAAATGCTTTGTTCATTCATCCATTCAAACCTATCCCCCCTCTCTTAGTTCCTTACATTCTCCAACACATGACACTGAAAAGTGAAGTATCTCATAAGAAAGGGGGTGGGCATCAATAGGACTGCAAAGAATAGCAAATATCTGCCCTAGCCGTTTTGGCTCAGTGGATAGAGTGTCAGGTCTGCGGACTGAAAGGTCCCAGGCTCGATTCCAGCCAAGGGCATGTACCTTGGTTGCGGGCACATCTCTAATAGGAGGTGTGCAGGAGGCAGCTGATTGATATTTCTCTCTCATCGATGTTTCTAACTCTCTATCCCTCTCCTTTCCTCTCTGTGAAAAATCAGTAAAATATATTTTTTAAAAAAGAATAGCAAATCTCTCTTATTGTAGATAAGTAAAAGGGATTCTCTTCCTAAACTCTAATTTAGTTCTGCCCCTAACTAGTGTGCTTTAGCAAATCACTCCCTATCTGGGTCTCAGTTTCCTCAACTGTAAAATGTGTAAGATAGACCACAGTAATATTCTTCAAACTGTAATTGCAACTAATTCATAGGTCATCTAATCAAACTTGAGTGAATTGCAGCCTACACTGTTTAAAGATGAAATAGAATAAGACAGAGGATATCAGAATGCATCACCCTTCTCGAAGATAAGGATTGTTCCATGATGTTTTTGTTGTAAAATGTATTTCTTTCTATAGGTGATAGCTAAAAATGTTTGAAAGGCATCAGAGTAGATGATCTTAAGGCCCAATTTAGGTTTGCCATTCCAGCACCCTAATATCCTTGTATTATGGGATGACAGTGTTTACTTAGTAGCTAAACACATTCTATGTAGGATAAAGACAAAATTCTCACCTATGCCCAACTGCCACAAGTCAAACCCACTTGTATCTGGGATTTCTGAAAACAGTATAGCATGTAAAGCCATTAGCACAGAGCCTAGTATATAGTAAGGGCCCAATGTTAGATAGTTATCATCATCATCATTATTGCAGTCATGCCAAGGAACAATGCAAAATAAAGGCAAATATTGTATTCACATTAGTGAAGAAAGATGCAGAGGAAGTACCTTTTTCAATATGTGACTTCCTTTGGGAGATCTATTAGTATAGTTGATCAAATCTTTGTCAGGTAAATCCTTGCAAGGCCTGAAAATGAGAGTTTATGAACATGAGACAGAGACACAAAAGACTTCTAGGGCTGATAAAATGAATGCTATGAGGAAAAGCCTTCTTCTTAGGTATAGAAAACCTTGGGCTAAATACTTACTGAATAAACGTAGGATCTCGCCATCTCCTTAAGTTTTGTTTGTTTTTCCTTGGAACCACTCCCAAGCAGACATTGAACATTGCAAACACTTTACAACTATCTGTTGGATCAAACTGAATGCTTAGCCTATGCTCCTCTCTCTCCAGCTATAGGTAGTTACATCACCATTAATAAAGTTTATTAAATACCGATGGCATATACGTCCAAAAACATGACAAATAAATAAAATGTGGTACATATATACAAAAGAATATTTTTTAAAGGAATGAAATTTTGACATATGCTATAACACAGATGAACCTTGAAAACATTATGCTAGATGAGTAAGTCAGACACAAAAGGACAAATATTGTATGATTCCGCTTATATGAGGTACATAGAATAGGTAAATTCATAGACAGAAAATATAATACAGATTATCAGGAGCTGGAGGGAGGAGGAAATAAGTACAGATTTCCTGTCTGAGATGATGAAAAAGTTCTAGAAATAGATAGTGGTGATGGTTGTACAGTACAGTGAATGTACTTAATACTACTGAATTGTACATTTAAAAATACTTAAAGTGGCCCTAACCGGTTTGGCTCAGTGGATAGAGCGTCAGCCTGCAGACTGAAAGGTCCCAGGTTCGATTCTGGCCAAGGGCATGTACCTTGGTTGCAGGCACATCCCCAGTAGGAGGTGTGCAGGAGGCAGCTGATTGATGTTTCTCTCTCATCGATGTTTCTAACTCTCTATTCCTCTTCCTTCCTCTCTATAAAAAAATCAATAAAGTATATATAAAAAAATAGTTAAAGTGGTAAATTTTATGTCATCTATATTTTATACAACAAAAAAATACTATCCTCTTACATTTTCATATCACTTGCTACTTTACTTTTTAACATGTTAAATGTATAAATGAGTAAATATAAAATATAAGCTAAAGACCCAACTTCTTCGCCTGACCTATAAAGTCCTACATAATGCAGGCCCCTGCCTTTTACTCCCACTCCCCCATTGGCCATCTTCCATTTCTGCTCTATGTTCCAAACACACTGAATTTTTTTCCTGATACCTAGATTTCCTCTTGCCTTCTGGATTTTGCATGTGCTATTTCTGTAGTCTGGAACTCTCTTCCTGTCCTCCTTCCAACTGAAACCCCCCACTTCACTAAACTGCTCTAATTTCAGAGGGCAGTGCCCTGGGTTAGGAGTCTTTCATGTGTGCTGCCACTCACCTAGGGGGCACTCTTCTTACCACATGCATCACCATCAATGGTTCTTTGCCTCCTCAACTAGGCTGAAGGCCCTTCTCTATTCAAACATTGTATCCCCGGTGCCCAGGAAAGTGGACCCCACTATGCTATATCTGTGAACTTTAATGAGTGACTAAGCAAATGATGGCCCAGGCTTTGCCTTGACTGGGAGAAGCTGCTGTTCTCCCAGGGTTTGAGTCCTAGAGAACCTGAAGGATAGGGCTATCTTCAGCCTAAGAAAAATCAAGAGCTGCTTAAATCAAACAGGAGACCAGAAATCACTGCAAGGGCACCAGTGCTTTGATTCCAGGCAACAGGGTCTTCACATTTTAAAAATCTAAGTTTTCCAGATACCTTCCCCTTAGCTTCATATATCAGCGAGCGCTATTTAAGTACCTAAGCTTTGTAAGATATTCATAAGGAAAAGCCATTGCTTCTTCCTTCAGGAGCTTTTAACGTCATACCTAAATATAAAAGATAAGAAAGAAAAGTATGTGTGAACAGTCTTCTGATGACCCACAGAAGTTAATGAGATATTCCCTGATATGGGCTGAATTGTGTCTCCCAAAATTAATTTGTACCTCAGATTTTGACCGTATTTGGAGACAGGGTCTTTAAAAAGATAATTAAGGTAAAATGAGGTGATATAGGTGGGCCCGCACCCAGTATGACTGGTGTGCTTCTAGGAAGAGGATATTAGGACACAGACACACGCAGAGGGAAGACCATGTTAAAACATAGGGAGAAGATGGCCATCAACAGCCAAGGAGGAAGGGCTTAGAAGAAAGCAGCTCTGCCAACACCTTAATCTTGAACTCCTAGCCTCTAGTCTAGAATGTTGAGAAGATAAATTTCTGTTGTGTAAGCCACTCAGTCTGTGGTACTCTGTATGTATGGCACCCTAGCAAACTGCCCATTTTAACAAATTCTTAGACCACAAATAAGCATGCTTTGTTTTTTCCTAGCTGGCGTTGCTCAGTGGTTAAGTGTCGACGTATGAACCAATCAAGGTTCAATTCCCGGTCAGGGCACATGCCCAGGTTGTGGGCTCGATTCTCAGTGTGGGGTGTGCAGGAGGCAGCCAGTCAATGATTCTCTCTCATCATTGATGTTTCTCTCTCTCCCTCCCTCTCCCTTCCTCTCTGAAATTATATATATACAAAGTGTGTGTATATATATATATATATATATATACACACACACTTTGTTTTCGTTTCCCGTTTCCCACTGCGTATTTACCACTTCTTTATCTGAATTGGAGTTTTTATTTTAAGCCCAGCTTTCTCAAAATCTTCTACACGGGAAAAGGAAGTCAACCCAGAATTTTGAGATAGCAAGCTCTTAAAGGTGTATTCCATGATAATTTACCTGCCTTGAAATTTGGAGTCAAACTTTGAACGCTGAGACAATAAAGAGTGAGGCTTAGTGAAGGTAAGTCCTGGTAAATGACCATGAGGACGCCTCCTGGCCTGGAAGCAGGAATCTGAGAGGTTTACAATGGTGAGCACGGGGAGTTTGTCTGAGAAAGCAAACAAGACGAAAACATGTGACATGTTAGAAGGGAGCCAAACAGAAATAGTTCAAAGATCTTGTAAGGGAGGAGACGGGCTGGCTAATTCACCGTTAACGTCCAGAGAAGTTTTGTAGGATGAGCCCAGGATTCGAGGGTGGCCCCTCTCAATGCGGCGGATGGTAGCCCAGCATTGCGGGTGCTGACAAGCAGCCAAGTTGCAAGTGGTTTCATCCCACTGGCTCTCATCTGGCAAGTCCATAGTTACAAATGGTTTAGGATAAAAGTCAACCTTGCAGCTTTCTTGCCCTCTGGAGAAACAACCACATAATTAGTGAGTATTATATACGAGCCAGATCTTAATTTGGACTCAAAGCATCAAATGTGTCTACTGAACTCTTAGAGGTAAATGGTGGTCATCGAATAAAACTTGGGTAACAAATAAGTATGAAAATATATAGTGTGAAGTCAAGTAGCAAGAGTTTGGGAGCAGGCTAACTTCAGAAGGTCTCCTAATTCACTATTAAAAGATGGATTAATCTGAGCTTCATTTCCTCATCTGCAAAATGAGGACAAGCCTATTTTACAGGGTCATTACAAAAATTAGTTAATGCATTTTAAAAGGTCTGGCAGAGAATTCATAATAAACATCAGCATCCTTCCCTTTTCCCCTTTATTAATCACTAGGGAAAATATATCACCGTCTCCAAAAAGCCTTATCAAATTACAAATACAGACACAGAAGTGCTTTAGGTGGCTCAAAACTTTAAAAGACATGCTTCATTTTTCAATATGCTCCAATTCTCAGGCAGCTAAACTATGCACTGAAAATTAATGGGTTTGCTCAAAAAGCAAATCAGTAAACTTAAACTTGCATCAGAGGCCATTGGCTTTTCATTTACTGTCTGCAAGGTCTTGGGCAAGTGATTTAATCTCTTTTAGCCTGTTTCCTCATATAACGTAAGGGAGGGGGAACCCCTAAGTAGGACTGTAGAAGCATCAAATGAGAAAATGTACTTTTACGTGTGGTAATATAACTGGTGCTCAATGAATATTATCATCCCTCTCTAGAAATGTCTTATGCAATCACCACCACTTGATCCATAATAATTTTGTAAGGAGACACTTTCTCTTATTCAACACATTTATTGATGACCACATATGTGAGGGGACCTGTTATAAGCATGGAGAACAGTAGTAACAAAATAAGGCCCTATTCTAAAAGACTTTTTAGACCCAAGATAGCAAAATATTGGCCGAAGATTGCACCAGGCCTATAACTTGCTTTGGTTAGCCTGTCCTTTGAGCCATTATTTTAAATGGAAATAGTCCGTAATGTCCAGATTTCTGGGTCATTTTAGGAATCAAAATATCTGACAAGGCGGGCCCAATTCTAACAGGACAGCCATTGACTGAAGCTGAGCATCTCCTGACATCTTGAAACCAAGTCTGTTCCATCCATGTGGAGTTTTCCCACCAGACCCTACAGTTTACCATTGAAGCCGTTTCATTTGTTTTTTTTATCCTCAAATTGCTGTAGCTTTTCTCATAATACAGAAATATTTCTCTGAACTCATTATCAAAAGCAGGAAAACCAAAGGGTGGCGTGAAACGTTTCAAGACGCAGCATTAGTACTGAGTGGCAGCGAGGATAATTTCTAGGTAGGTAATATGATACCCCTTAAAAAGCCCCCGTAAAGCTGTGGTGATGTTTTTGACTGGGAAAGATGCTCGACGGACCATTTTATGAACTAAAAAAATACATATACAATTTTAAGAGGGTTTGTTTTTGAATGACAACGTGACGTTGCCTTATTCTGACAGTCGGCTCGCCGCCCTTTCAGTACCTGACCATCCCGAATGGAGTCCCGACCTCTGGTCATGCCCATCTCTACGGCACTGGCGCTTATGCAGGCAAAGTAATGTGCGTTCGAAAATTCTAGGGAACAGTTATCCTGAATACTATTACCAAGCTGGGAGGAAGGGGGTGTAATTATTAAGGACAGACATCAGCTCCGGTGAGAGCTGAAAAAGGATTCCCCGCTTCGTTCTGAAAAGGGGAAGTGGGAGAATCCGGTCTCGGGGGGCCGCGGTTGCGAGAGGTCCAAGAAGACGCCCCGGCCACGAGGCCGAAGCCTTCGGGACAGACGTCGGTCTGTGCTGGGCCGGGAGGCGGTCTGCAGGCCCCGCCCACCAGGCCCCGCCTCGCCGCCTCCGTCGCCTTCTTCGTTCCCCAGGCAACGCGCCACGCCTCGCCGGGCAGCAGCGCACAGCACTATGGGGAAGAAACGGAAGCCCCAGCGAGCCCAACTTAATGTGGTGCGAAAGCTCCAGACGTGGTGGAGACGTAAAGCAGACAGACGAGCTCGGGAAAGGGCACCGGGTGTCGGTGGGGGCCGAACGGGAGCCCAGGAGGGCCGAAACCATCGCGGCATGGAACGTCGGGCGCTCCGGCCACTAGAGGCGGAGGCGGGGCTGGTGGCGAAGGAGGAGGCCCTAGCGCGCGGGGCAGTATGGGACACCACCGGCAACGTGGGGCGGGGCGGAAGCCTTCCTGGGTCAGACCGTGGCGACGCGGGAAGTCCGGACGCTGAAGCTGCCTGAAGAGGAGGCCTGAGTGAGGCGCAGGTCGGGCCCCGGCGGCGGCCATGGCGGAGCGGCCCGAGGACCTGAACCTGCCCAATGCCGTGATCACCAGGATCATCAAGGAGGCGGTGAGCAGCTAGACTGGCGGACGGGCCGGGGGCGGGCGAGCGGGCCGCGGGGGAAGCCGGACCTGGGCCGGCGGCTGGGCTCATCACCGCCCTTCTCACAGCTCCCGGACGGCGTCAACATCTCCAAGGAGGCCCGGAGCGCCATCTCCCGCGCCGCCAGCGTCTTCGTGCTGTACGCCACATCCTGGTGAGGCGGGCGGGCTCGCCGGAACTGAGCTGGGACTGTGGCCTGAGGGAGGCGCCGGGAGGACCCCTCGGAGTTGGTGGCTCGGAACCCACACACCCCAGTAACTTCCTCGTGGAGGAAGGTTCACATCCCTCACCCCATGTTTGCAAGTGATGGAACAGCAGAATAGCTTGGCTTTAACCCTGTGTTACAGGGAAGTGGGACCGGGGGGCGAGGCGGCGGGGGGGCGGGGTGAGAGTTAGATTATCACTAACACCCGTGCCTCTCAGATGTGGGCGTTCCCATCCATCCCACCCCCGGGTGCCCCTTCTTCCGCACCCACGGTCGGCGATAGAGGGTCTGACGGCCCCTCCCCTTTCTTCTCTCCACGTGTCAGTGCCAACAACTTCGCGATGAAAGGGAAACGCAAGACCCTGAATGCCAGTGATGTGCTCTCGGCCATGGAGGAGATGGAGTTTCAGCGGTTCGTGGCGCCGTTAAAGGAAGCTCTGGAAGGTGATGGCCTTTCTCTTTTCTCAGCCAAGTAGATGCTTGTCCTGCGTGACCTGCCTGCCCCCCTGGTCCTGTGTCTTTCTCCGCGGGGGTCCCTTCAAGGCCAGCAGGCAGGCGAGGGATATGATGCAGACACGGGTCCGTGGGCGCCGCCCGAGGTCTGTTCTGTGCTTCCCCGCGGGTGGTGTTTCCCCTGCGCCCCTGCTTTCCCCGATACACCTTCCCGGTGGAATGAGCTGCCTCCTAACCCCCGCCTTCTTCCCCCCGCAGCTTACAGGAGGGAGCAGAGAGGCAAGAAGGAGGCCTGGGCGGAGGA